GACTGGCAAGCAATATTCCCTGCAGACGGTGAGAACAGAGTGTCACCTCGATCACATGAACACAGATTACAGAACTTTTCTCCCAGAGCTGCCATCTAATCTGGCACCTAAATTCACTGCATAATACTGAAAAAAAATCTAAGTTGGGTTTTTACTTCAGCTGCTTTGTGTTTTTCAAATAACATATTTCAGAAGGTGGCTGAGAATATTACTGAGAACCTGACAGCCTTAGAAATCAGTAGGAGAGCACATAGTGACAGACACTTCGTTAAGATGTATAAAAACACCATTTGTAATTAAACATCCTGACTCCTTCAGCAACCAGCTACAGCCACAAATAGGTCTGGGATATCATCTGAAGTTTTGGCTCTTACTACTAAATATCACTGGTACCATCCATCATTCAGAGTTTGTTTGTGGGAATATATAAATAATTAAACTGATTAAAGTAGAAACCACATAGAAAACCAATTTCTGAGAAAGTACCTAAAGTAACCGTATTGGTAAATGCATTGGGAAATACTGCTCTTAGATGGAGGCTGGATCCACTAAATCATGGTCCAAAGCAGCTTAAACAGTACAGTGAATATTAAGAAAAAATCTAGGCTTGGCTGAGCCCATCAAATTAATATCAAATCCATCTGGAGGAGTGTCTTGCACAGCTATTTCTGCTTTCTGGTAGGATATTGTGACTACCTTGACAGCATTTTTTTGCAGGTGCTGATCCAGTTACCACCTGTCTTGTGGGACTGAATGGAAAATGCCAATGCCTGATCAGTATGGGCACTGCCAGCAATGGCGCCATCCAGAAGCACCTTGCTGTGAGGGACTTGTGAAGATGGGCATGCTTTTACCTGGCTTTAGCTGCCTTCCCACTGACTAGCAAAAGCCCTTTATTCTGCTAAAAAAGGAAAATACATGCCTTAGGAGAAGAAACCAACACAAAACTGAACATAATTTTGTGGTTAGTCTCTAAGATTATCCACTGGCGTCCTTTCTAAATGACTGGGTGATGAACTTCTGCAGCTTTTATTTATGGCTGATGAAAATTGACTGACCGTTAGGAATTCTGACAAGTTGTAGCTGTTTAAGGGAAGAGGTATCATAATTAATTTTAAACTTTAATGCAAACAGCATAATTTCTGTGGCTGTTCTGTAACAGAGATAACACTCAACACCTCTTTTCTTACTTTGCAGTATGTGATTATATTTTCTGTCAGTATGTGCCTTACCAAGCAAGTGGGAGGCCAGAAAAGAATGCCACATGTAGAAATCTGTTGGTTCTAAATCGAAGGCAATTACATGCAGTTCTATATCCTTTTGTAAACATAATTAATGACCATGGATTAGTAAATGCTAGAACAATTATTACAATTAATCATTTTAAAAGAAAAAAAACCTAGAAACCTAAGTTGAGCAAAGGATCTCCTAATTCTTACATGTGAATCTTGCAGACCAACAAGCGTGGAATTCCCCAGTGAAGTATCCCTCTACTTCTCACTCCACTTTTTCTCATGTAAAACTCAATAATCTGCCTACATACCTTACAGCAAGAGTACCTAGGTTCAGGTGGTCAGCATACATGAGCGTATTTCAAGAATTCACCTCACTGTATTACTGCAGTCGGTTAGAGCGTGGTGCTGATAACATCAAGGTCGTGGATTCGATCCCCGTTCCGTCCCCAGGTGTTGCCTGATCTAGTTGAGAGGCGTCCCTGTCCATGACAGGGAGGTTGGATTAAATGATCTCTAAGGTCCCTTCCAGCCTAGGCCATTCTATGGTTCTATGATTCAATTTGGACAGGGATGTGCAAAGGAGAGGAAAAGGGAGCGTGTCCGTAGAGGGAAGCAACACACTGACTTCCATATGAACCGTTTATTGAATAAATACATGCATCATAATGTAGAATTACATGAGCAAAAAAGGCAATCTGTACAAAATTGATTACCCTTTGTTCGCAGTTCAACTCTCACCATTTGCTGCAGCTCTGATAAAGGATTCAAGACAAAATTGAAACTCTTAATCCAAATCCAAGTGATATGCATGCTGATTTGAGTTTGCGTTATACCACTGCTGTAATTAAGAAAGCTGGTTTTCTTGTCAGTGAAGCAGAGTAATTCTAAAAACAGTTTCGACAGTAGAGAATGTGTTTGTACATACAGGTAACAAAGCTTATTTTTAGCCATCTCTTAAACATCTTCATATGTTCATATTTTAAGGCACAGGATAAACAAGAACTACATGAAAAGCTATCAGCTGATACTGAATACATTGGCTTGATAGTGAGGTGCAATTTCTGCCCAGAGAAAAAAATTTGTCCTTCTTACTTTCATATAAATGGTACAATCAGAATTTGTAGCTATGATACAGAGGTTTGTTTCCACCATCAAAAGAATCAATCTCATCTAAGCAATTATGTTCTGATCCAAATTCACTCAGGAGAACATTTCTAAAGTGTCTGGCATCCAGGACTGATTACGGTCAATGGGAATTCCTGTTGCTGAATTACGACGACAATTCACCTCTTCATTTTATATTCCTAAATGGGAACTGAGCTCTCTTAAGAACCCATCCCCAATTTCATGTTGCAAGCTATTTTGGAAATCTGTCCTATACACTTTATTCAGTTACTCACTTTGTGCTATCATATCACATTTAGCCAAACACAGCAATATTTTCCCCCTCAAGACTTGAGAAGATAGAATATGCACTTCTTTGAAGTGCAGAGTTTTCCAAGATCTGACTCCAGGTTTAAGACTTGAAACACCAAATTAGTTTAACGGCCCATCTCTTGGCACGGGATCAAAATCTGGGGAGTCACTGGCCAAGATGTACAGCAAATGTCCTTCCACCTTGAGCTGAACCAAGGCACAAGACAATTACGCTGAACTGCTGCTCTTAGACCTCCTTCGTTTTAGATCAGCTTTCACTTTCTGCATTTTCATTGTATTACAATCTCTGTCTTTCCATTCGTAACATTTTAATGGAGAACTAGCAAACAAAATATGTATTTTATTATATATTACATTTCATATTAGTAGATGAGCGTAGATAGATAGTCATACATTCCACTATAGAGTGAAGCCTTCAAATGGAAATGTTTTCTTACAAAGAACCTCTCTATCTTGCACAGTCCATCAGAAAGTAACAGCGGCAAAATTTACGTTTGCTAGAACTGTCTTGTATAAAATGTGGCAACAAGAAGGCCATCACTGTATAGAGTGTATGCGTGCATGTCACACACATTCGTGACAAATGTTCATGTTAATCTTAACTGAGACAAACTGAAATGAATTAATTGTTAAACGTGAAAAAGACAAAAAGCTACATCTATGGTAGGCACTTTGGTATGTCTAGTATTGTAGGCATATTCTACACCTAGAATTAAGGTTCTGCCAGTAATCTTAGAATAAAGCTAACTTTCAGGAGTTTATTATTCTGCTTTAAAATTCTTTCTTGGCTGAGAGATTATTCTAGAATCTTGGCTAAATAACATACTTTGTCTAATTGCATACTTCTCCAAGAATGAGGGTGTTGGCTCTGAACGAGCTGAACTGTTCTCTTGGATTCTTAATGCACATTTTTATAACAGTCTGAGAAACCATACCAGAAAAAGAAAAAAAAAATCAGTTCTGAATAAAAAAAAAAATTCCCCATAATTCCAACAAAATTAGAGTTATGAGCTCAGCTGTTTAGGCTGATGCTATCCCTTCAACTCTCAACTGTGTATTTGATCAGGTTGTGCTAACCATATCGCTGCCATAGCCATGCAGCAGGCTGGGCAACGTTTCAGCAGAATGCCATTATTTCTCAAGAAAACTGTGTGGACCGCCAAAGTGCACCTTTTTCATGCACCAAACACACTCAGTAGCAATGAAGGAACTGTAAAGACAGTCCGTCTCAGCTTCGTTTCACACTTTCTTACCTACTGGTGCTCCATTTTAGTATTACAGAAGGTACAGCACAATATACTATTTAGCACAGTATTGTATCATAAAAATAACATGTCTTGTACGTATGCCTACTATATGAACTTACATTGAAAGCTGATTTGTATACCTTATAAACCATGGAAACACGGCAGGAAGGACAGTTCTAAGTGGTCAGAGATCTTGTTTATAATACAGAAAAATCCATGTCCTCATACCTTCAAAAGGTCACATGTCTAGTACTACAGAATACAGGAATAAATAACAAAATCCAAGTGAACCTGTAGAATAAAACTGCACTGTTTGTTATATTTACTCCATTCAATGAAAACTCAGATTTAGAAACTGTGATTCATGGACCTCGTCTTCTGTTTATACAATATTTATAGAATTCTCATTCTTGTTTAGAATATTCTATAGCATGATTTCCAAATAATACATTTATATATAAATATTAAAATGTGAATGTTTTGTACATTTTAAGCTAGCCACACTGGGCCAGAAACACAAAAAAGTAAAAATGTTTTTCTGCAGTTTGTTTTTTAAGAATATCACAAAATGATTAAGACCATTGTGCTGCAAAGACAAAAAGAGATTCATGTGAAGAAATTAACATGCATTTAGAAGAAAATATCTATAACCTTTATCTCATTTTCTTCTGAATTCAAACCAGCATGAAAGAATTATAAAAAAATAGTCTATATTTACATGGTACAGTATACCTTGGTGAGATACAAAACAAGGCAGGAAAACAGCAGAACGTAATCTTTTCACTTCCTAATAGGTACAGCTGTCAGAAGAATCAATTTAAACACAAAACGTTACTTTACTGTACTATTGCACATTACAGTAACACATAAAATTGTTTAGCAAATTAAAATACGAAGTTTAACAATGAGAAAGGCTATGTCTACATAAAATGACCAAGTGTTATAAAATTATTGGGGATATGCCTAAGAACTAAATCAGTAAAGCTATAAAAATAATATTGGTACATCTGTGAGAACAACGCTTTAAAAATATATAAAAGTTGGCAAAATTATGCGTGGGGATTTCTCAGTATCCATGGGCCTAACTTGCACCCTGTGGCCTTGTACCGTCTTCTGTTAAATCATACCTGAAAACAAAAAAAAAATATTTTTTTACATTTAGCATGTATTATTAAAACACCAGTTATCAGTATGTAGCATTACTAAAGCAGTATATAAAGGAACTCGTATGCTTACCACTGGGTCCAGCCTTTAGCAAGTTCTTCAGATGCCAGAGGTATCAATAACTGTGGAAAGGTACATTAGCAATCAGTGCATTATGTGTGCCCTTTATCTTATGTCTTTTAAAGATCAAATCTGACAATCCTGTAAACTACAGTGTAAGTAATGCTATTAATAAACAATTTATTTTATGTCTTTGTCATCGTAGCTATCTGCCCAACTTGCAGTAAAGTTGCTGGTTTTGACCTAAAAATCTATACACTTTAGTGATTCAGTCCCAGAGCACTCTGCAGGCCTAAGTTCTGAACATGGCCTATTCTGGCAATGGCAATCAGCTGGTAAGTTCAAGCCAACAGCCTTCCTGCTAAACAGGGAAATTAATAACAAAGTTGACCACGTACTGACCACAGTTCTGCTCTCTCTCACTCTCTTTACAGAGCTTGGACATGGGAATTTGCACAGTGCAAGAATTTACTACTCGTTTTTGCATGCTCCAAATCACATGTGTAGGAAATAAAGTAATTTAATGAGCGCCTACAGAACAGCAAAGTTGTAAACACAGTAGCTGGTTTCTGCATTGAGAAGATCTCCAGTGGCAGTTCTTTGTCATAGATTTTACAATCTGGGATTTTAATTACTAAGCATAGATCTGTTCTGTGTGCTTCTCTAAGTACTCTTGCTTGTCTGTCCAGTTTTGTCTGAACGATTTCTGAGATAGATACTGCCTGTTCTCTGCTGGTTATTTTCTTTCCCTGACTGTACGATTAATAAGTCTGACATGCAGGTTTGTTCCTGTGAGCCTCAGAACTTATCATTCTCTAGAAGCAATTACTGCCTCATCTTTTTATACCTGTCTCTGCAGTTTGTTCCTGCCCCTACTGAAGCTGAACATTTAAGTCCTGTAAAATTTTTAAAACCTTCACACCTGAGTCAGGTGCTTCAGTCAACAGTAACAAGCTCATATCACAAAAAGATTTTAGTCTTATATTAGAACATGCTGTATTATCAGAATTTGCTCATTAACAACTTACTTTGCCAAGCAGCCCTTTATCCTTGGACAAGAAACCACCACTGTTCTTCACTGCTACATCTAGTGTTCTTCTCTGTACTTCAGGCAGGGAAACACTGAAATCAAATCTGACAAGCAAGGTGATAGTTTAGAGACAATTTTTTACCTCAAGTGCAGGTTCAGTTCCTACAGCTAAACAACAATTCAAATTATAACCAGCCCTGTCCTCAAACAAAAACCAAGGTGTGAGATAAATGAAGAAAAAAATCCCAATGCCTTGCCTAAAATTTCTTCAATACTATGACCGATACCAGCATTAAATGTTTAAGACTTCTATTACCTCTGGTCTCTACAATCTCAAAAAAGGGTAAAACTGGTCAGTCTTACTGATCCTTGGTCCTCAATAACCAGCCTTCTTTTCTTTCCTGGCACACCAAGAAAACCTATCAACTTTTAAGGAAGAATACATTTCGTTTGCTAGATCTGAAACTTACAGGAAGGGCGGGCAAGACTATTTCACAATCTGTATCTATTTGTCACTACAGTTCTTAAACAGCTTTATTGATTTGCAATACATTTTACTTGGAAAGGCACAGCAAAACAAATTACCTCGAATAAACAGGAGAAAGCTGCACTATCAGGAAAACCTACCAGAGCCTCTAACTAATGACTTCCACATGTCCCTTGGACAGAATGGACTGATACGTCGTCTCCCCCAAATTAATTTTCTGTCTGTAGAGAAAGATCTTTACTGAAAAATGATGCCTGTGGGAGTAAGGATGATGCATGTGCGAGGGCAACTGTCATCAAAAAGCTGAGTGCAAAGATAAAAATTTTTATGCAATATAACGTTGCATGAGCTCGCACAACTTCCAACCTATGGGCCAGTATACAACCTACGAGGAAATTTCCTGACTCCCTGGACGCTGAGAAGTGCCACCAAGTGGACTGACTGAGCAACCAGATCACGCATAGACACTGTCTGGTCAGTCCCACCGAGGCAGCATCTATCAGCCAGGCATTTCAACTGGCCGGGCGGGATCGGGACGCTTCCTGGCAGGAAGGGTTACCAACAGCACGGGCTGGCTGAAAGGCACTCATGTCCTGACCCTCTCCCAGAGGAGTGCACACTTCTTCCAGCACAAAGGGGACATAACTGACACAGGATAAGGCAGGAAAGAAGAGAGAAGTGACTGGTAAGAGAGCAAAAAGGGCTATAGTGGTAACAGCGAGTGGAAGGATGGGAAGGGCTATTATAGCAGAATGTCTGGTGGTGACAACTAGGAGTTTTAAAAGCTCATCCATTCAGGTAAGCAGAGAAATCCTGCTTTGACAGCTTTGTTAGCTACATGATATAAAGCTATCACACATAGTTTAGAACATACATTTGATCAAACACTGGGTTTAATGTCTTCTTTGATACATGTGTTTTTCTTCTTCCCGATCGTCTCTTATCAGGCAATAAATACATTCGCACGTATGGATCGGATCCCTCTTCTGAAAACGCTATTAGATTTCTGTGGCCAGTGGAAAAAAAAAAAAGGAAAAGCATTTAGAAAATAAATCAGATATTGCTGAATATAAGTGTCTATGTGACCATAACTTAAAACATTAATTGGTTGTAAGATATCCTGCGCAAAGTTTGACACACAGGATACAGCACATAGATCTAACAGCAGTGGAAAACTTAAAAATAATGCCAAGCAGTGACCCATACGAGATCAAACACATTATGAGCAGATGGCAGAGGTGGGAACACAATTTTTGTTAAATTCCAACTCAAAGTTTATATATGGCTTTTCAAAAATCATGTTTTCGTCACTCCATGAAAAATTCAGTCTCCTAGAGATAGCTTCAGACACTGCTGATAATCTACATTTTCATGTAAAATCTGAGAGGCATAAGGGACAAATACAAAATCATAACAAAATCTTCAGCAAAGTTTTTACTGATTCCAAATATAGCTCTGTATTTTTTTTGTATTTACAGATAATTACAATCAGTATGTTATTTTAAAAATAATGGAGTTCATCCAGACAACCCAAGATATGACAAAGTTCACAAAGAAATATACACAGAAATGAAATTTGGCATATTATGCTCTTTTTTTTCAGGAATGCACTACCACAATCAGCTTGTTTCTTTGTGAACTATGACGAATTGTGAGCTGAATCTGTCCTAATGGAGACTGACCCAGAGTTGTTCCACTGCAGGAAAAAAGTAAAACATTACACTTAGTTTTTAAAATGCATATTTAAAGTAAGATCTAACCAAAATATATGCTGAGTTTTCCCTGAAAACATGTATTATTCCATTTAACTTTTCAACAGACCAACATGAAAGAGAGCACGCATTTGAGCATATCTGCATCAGTTTCTTGTACTTCTGTTCCTTGTTCAACAGCTCTGCTCTACAAAATAAACTAGGTATTCCGGTCAGTTTAGAGGTCAGATGGTCTTCAGTACTTTGAAAACCAGGATTAATAGAGAACTTAACCCAAAATAAGCTTTAAAGCAGTACCTAGGAAATTGGAAAGAATTACGGTACAAACTCACTCACTGATGGGCGACGCTTACCTACGGACAGAAACCAATTAGAAGAGCAGCTCATTCTTTTCTAAATTCTCTAATGCAGAAATTGAGGGATTCTTAGGATTAAAATAGTGATACTTAAACCCACTTATTGCCTTAAAAGCTCAAATCACAGTATGAACACTGCCATTTTACTTTTCTGTAGCTCATGCCACTGAAATAAGGTTAGAATTGATTTACACTTACAAATAGAGGTCATGCTTAAATAAAAAGCAAGCACGATGTTTAAGAATTTCTGTTTTAAAGAACAATCCGTATTTGCAGAATTCCCTCATTGTATGAAATGCTTTTTTGAGTGCTTTCCATTTCACACAGGACAGTATATGGCATGCTTGGGAATTTCTCAACTACCTGAAAAATAACTTAAAGGGTGAGGTGTGCCTCTTCTGTGAATAGCTACAAGTTGTTACACTATGAAAATTCCCAAATCACTCACTTTAAGAACTAGAACAAAGCAATTCAGTATTTTCTTAAATAATAATAAAAAAGTAATAAATTACAGCACCTAAAAGCAGTCAAGTTGCAGCAAGATAAATTTCAATCCGAAATAAAGAAAAAAGCGTTTTCACAGTGGAGTGTTTGAGCTCTGGAATTGCTGAGAGAAAGTTTACAGAATTTCCATTCTTGGCAATATTCACAACTTGTTTGGACAAGGCCTGGGAAATCTGATCTATCTTTGACGCGGGATTTGCTTTTAGCAGAAGGCTGACCGACCTCTAGAGATTCCTTCCAACCTACGGATCCTACGAACTCTGATAGGGAAAAAGATGAATTGGTTCAATCCCTTACAAATAAAAAACTAAAATCTTTCTACTAAGACTCAGAGAGAAGCTGCATGACTAGGGAATTAATGGTTTCCATTCCCCTACTCAGAGCAGAATGACTGCTCAGCTATCTTTAGTGGCGCTCAGCTATCTTTAGTGGTAAGTGTAGCTGCCCACTGAGGCAAGTAAAAAAAGAATTAGAGAATTTAAGAAAGCATAGCTGCAGCAATCCTCGTTAATTGAATAATAACTGCCTATTCATTTAACATTCTTTATAGTTAACAATCCCTCCGAGTAATTTGAAAAGACCAGCTATATTCAGCTGAATTGGATTAATACTAATGCTAATAGGATTCAGTAGTGAAACAGGAAACTATTGCCATGAAAGTGATTAATGTTGTACTGAAAATACAACTGTTCCCTCTTGCCATCCCACTCTCTTTAGCCCTACAGAGTGTAGCTATGAAAACAAGGTGACTATCTAGCAGATCATCGCAATAGTAAGGTAGACTTCTAACTGCAGAATCTGTCCAAGGGTCCAGGAGGAAGCAGAAAATCACAATGAGCGATTTTCGAATGCCAGACTCAAACTGCAACAGGAAAAAAAAATACAGAAATGCAAACTAAGCACTCTTTCTTTGGCTGCACTGATGGACATTTTTTTTATAAATCAACTTAGATGGATTGCAAAACCAAATAATTAACACCATACTTCTCAAGCTGCCGTAGTCTTTGCCGTAGCTCCTGCGTGGCGATGGGCAGAGATATGTCTGAGGCTATGCTAGGGGTGGGCTCTTTGACCGAGAGGTGGCTGGGAGAGTAGGAGAAGTTAGAGGCATGAAGACTGGAGGAACTTCGGCTGAGATCTGTTGGCCACTGCGGGCTGGCACTGGAAGGCTGACTTTTTTCACCTATATCAGTCTTTTTATCACTGTCAGTCACTGGGGAAGCTGGAACAGTTTTTTTTGAATCAGGTAGTGGTGAGACAGGAACCTGAGGCTTAAAAGATGATTTTCTTGCATCTTTGGAAAGAGATGGCCTTTTTACTTGGGCTGAGTGTTGATGATCTGGAGATCTTGCTTGCTTTTCAAGAGAAAGGACCTAGATAGAGTAAAAAGACACATAAGATTACTATTTTCCAATATAAAAACCAGGAATAAATTTATTTCTACAAGAGTACTGGCCGGTGACAGGTTGTTAAGTTACAACACTAAAGCAGGACCAAAAACATTCACTCTACAGTAGAAAACCTTTCGCACAGCAAAACGCAGCTCCATCTTCTTTTTGGAAACTGCAGTAACTGTAAACCAATGTGAAAGTCTCCATTCATGTAGAATTATTATTTCCTTCCCACACTCCACACACTTCTAGTGCAAATGTGATTTATTTTGCAGCTCTAGCCACCTGGAAAGCTGTTCTGTAATTTTTTTCTACTAATCTTAAAATTTAATCCTACATCACAAATTCTTCTCACTCATTGCCCTTATTTTCTCTTCTATAGGTTACTTTGATTTACTAATGGCAAGTAAGCAAGAAAGTGCTTCAGAGGAAAACAAGTAACAGCAGTTAACAGAACTTTGACAGCATTACAGATAAACTACCTTATGAAATCAAATAATTTAGCTGGGGAAAAAGACAAACCAACTTTCAGGTATGCACATTTTAGCTTCAAAACTCCAATGTGCTTGCAAGTTTGTCTGAATTTTTCCAGTACTACGAAGGTACTTCCTTTCCCTATAAACTTTATTCTTTTTAGGCCATCATGACCTCAGTTCCATTTCTGTAAGATGGAAGATGATTTCACTGATCTGTAGCCTACTGAAACATGAAAGATTCAGACGAATTCAGGTTCCAAACATGATATCTGAACCTAAAACCACAGGGAAGCTCAGTCTTAATTAAAACAGCTGATTACTGTTTTGCTGTGAGAACGTTCTGGGTTTGAAATAGAATACATTTAAATTAGAGGTTATCTTTGTCTACTTGATAGCACTGCCAACAGCTAAGAACACTTGGCATTGTGATACCGAAGGAATCTGCTTCATAAAAGCAGAAAACCAGGAGTCACAGTCTCAGTCATGCTTTCCTATTTAGCAAAAATGTTTTAGAGTACCCTGAGTGCAATCTTCATGTTTATAGTGCTGTTTGGACCAGAGTTGCTCAGGTGGAACCGCTGATGCATAGTTAAGTCTTCAGTCTCTAGCAACTGGCTTAGAGGCAGTTTGAAGTTCCCCAAAGAACACTGGTGCTGCTCGTCCCTCACCTGAAGGAACACAGAAGACAAGTCATTTAGTATCATCTGCTTTGTAAAAATTCAGAGAAAGAAAAGAAAATGATAGTTTTATTTGAAAACAAAAAAATTGAATGCAGTTTGTTCTTAAACCAAATTTCCCTGATCATAAAATTACTTTACACTGAAGAAGGAAATAGCAGAGATATTCAATGCCTAGTTTCTTCATCCCTATCTTCTACAGCAAAAGCCAGACACAAAACTAACCATCACATCTACTGGACCTTAAGTCAAAATAACTACCTAGTTTCCAAATGGTCTATGTGAAAATGAATTCTCACGTTTTTTAGATGAATAGTATCTAGGACAGTCCTCATTTAAATTTCAGTCTCTTTAAACTATGCAAATGATACATCAGCAGTTTAATGGAATACAGTGTTTATATAAAGCAAATACTTCCTTGGGATGTAACTGCCTATAATGTACCGCAATGCCTTAGAAAGGAAAGTTACCTAAAGAGTGTGGCACAACATACCTCAACTTCAAGATCTTGTCTTTTGGGATTGTGTACAAAGAAAGTAAAGTTTTCCTCCCATACTGGTTCATTGGTCTTGTATCGAATCTAAAGTTAGAGAACAGGAAGCATACAAATTATGAAACATTTTTGTCTAATAAAATCAATGTCAACAGTTAAGTATATTTTTCATTTTAGCTTTGCAAATTTATGTCTGAAATCTCACATATTTAAACAATGGCCAAGTGGGATCTACTCAAGGTCTACATAATATCACATATAAAATAATGCACAGGACATGTAATAGAATATGTTTTGCATTAAAGTTGCTATATGTAAAGCAAAACTCCTGCTAAAGAACCGTTACTTCACACTAGTCTATGAACAAATGCAAGGTCTTCAGACTGGCACAATCTCTCTTATCATACTTCCTTGTAAGAGCTGAACTAACTCAGTTAAACTCCTAGAAAACAGTATCTTCCTTTCTAATCTCCAAGTTGCCATGTGGAAGATTTCACTGCCAAATCTCATTACTTTCAGCAGTCCATTAACGGAGGGGTGAGAGAAAAAAGCATTCCTAGAAAAACTCCAGAAATAAAGGACTTGAATTTCTATCTCCATTCTCCAACAGGTATCAAAATTAAGAGTGTATATATAAGATCCGATTTAGGCTTTGTGACAATTTCTTACAGTGTATGAAGAACCCAAATTAGACATCCTCTCTTGTCTCAAACAAGCCACTTCCCTATTAGATATATCTCCCTATCTAAGTATCACTTCACTGTTGCTATTTTAAGAGCTGTTTGAATGCACAGAGGTTAGTTATGGACGACAGGTATGTTGAATGCCTTGGGTCCGAATCAGAGGGATCACCAGCAAGATTGACATCCTGACAAGTACCTGTTACAGACCCCTCGATTGGGGTGGATGACACCCCTAAGGGCCTGGATGACACCCCTAAGGGCCTGGATGACACCTTCCTCAGACAACTCAAAGCTGTCTCAGATCTGCAGAACCAGGTTCTCCCCGAGAGCTTCAACTGCTCTAACATTTTCTAGGGAACAGCTCAGTGGTACACAAGCAATTTTCAGTTTGTGTTACAAAAACATACGCTGTTGCATTACAGTTCGTCTCAATTGCTGAATTTGTTGACTAGGAGGAGTGTTCTGAATCTACTACTAACAACTGAGGAATGTTGGTTTACAGATGTGACTGTCAACAGCAGCCTTGGCTACAGTGACCATAAGATCACAGAGCTTAAGATCCTAAGGGGCATGAGGAAAACAAAGAGCAGAATAAAAGCCTTGGACTTCAGAAAAGCAGATTTCAATTTGCTCTAGGAACTGTTAGAAGGGATTCCGTAAGTGTCTACACCTTGGAGGACAAAGAAGCTCAAAAGAGGTCCATGCCTCAAAGCAGAAAAAGCAGCAGATATAAAGTAGCCTGGCTAAACTATGAGCTCCTGAGAGCTACACAGCATTCTGACCAATCTAAGGTCCTCCTCTAAGTAGAAGGTTCAAGTAAATGGCCTTCCGTGGTCCTTTTCGACCTGGGCATTTCTCTAACTCTGTGGTTCTGTAAATTTTCAAATCTTGATCAGTATTTTGAAGCCTGTTATTTGCCCATACTGTTATTTATATAACCACTACTGCAGGAATCCCAGCTGCAGATCAGAACCTACTGTGGAAGGACATCTACAAATAGCTAAAAACCTGGTCTCTACTCACAGACAGTTGAAATTGTGTAAGCACTCATTCAATCCTTGTGTCTTGTTGGAGATTTCAGTTCTGGCACTAACAGCCAGTGCCAAGCACACAGAGCCATCAAATGTTTGTAGACAGAGCCAAATATAAAGAGTAGGAACTTACCTTACTCTCCTGTGCCTTGTGTCCAACTGACAGCAAAACAAGTGGGTTGGGATTGCTGTTCATTTTCTTTCCTGACTGGTAAAGAAAAAGCAAAAGCTTTGCCTTCAGAATAAAGCAAAACCTTTATCCTCTCCAACTTAAATGTTTGCATTTTAAAAATACGAATCATATGCATTCTACTATATGCTTATCTATTATTCTCAGTAACTGGAGAACACATTAACATGAAGGCATCTAGCTACTCTAAATATGCTGAAGCAAAATGCTACAAATAAGTAGGAGTTTTAGATTCCATTTTCTTTGAATGAAATTGGTAAATTCTTATTCTTTAATGATCATTACAACTCCCAAAGCCAATGAAGCACAGTTAAAATTGCAAAATGAATATTGCATGCGGATGGAAGATATGGAGAAAACATAAACTCAGAAAGCTTGCTTTATTTCCATTGCAGTAGTCTTATTAAATTGGATGTAAAGTCAGAATATTGGTATTTCCCCCTTTTCTGTTTGGGGAGGAAGGTGCACTATAATGCACATGATGTATATTTCTACAGTTTACCAAATACTCTAATAAAGAGAATCAACCACCTGCCATATTTGAGCCTTGCTCACCAGCTGTATTGCATTACATCAAACTGTGAAAATAAACAGCAGTTTAGAATCAAAGGGATATTCCAAACTATGTGTTTCTTCTACAAATTTTAAATTCTCCTATCAAAAATTTAAGTCAGAAAGAAAAGTTAGACATGAAAGTTAATCATCTCAAGCAGGTGTTAATGCAGTTTAAAAGGCCTAGAAAGTATAGTATACACGGTTAATAACAAACTTTGAATTGTATCATGTAGGAAATTGTACAGATCAGGTATGTAAACAGAAAGTTAGTTAAAATCTACCTAATGTATGTAAGGTCACAATGACAACCCGTTGATTCAAATATTTTATAATTTTGAATTAAGAATGTGCATATTTTAGATATTTTTGGATCTGAACTTATATTTTGCACATCATACTTCCACTAATACTACTTGACTTTAATGTGACAAACTGCTTTTAGCCATACTTCCCTGCAGAAAAGAAGCTGTTAAGAAAGCACTCCTTTCTTGGATGAACGCCGCATTTGGTTTTTTTCATGATTTCTAACTGGAAATATCTCTCAAAGACAACAGAAGGCAAAGATTTAAAGAACAGAAAGAAGGTCAGGTTACACTCCAACCAATGGTGCTTAAAATGGTAGGTTACACGCTTCATTTTTCCCTTGTCTATAGAAAGGTTCCTGAAGCTACAGAAGTTGATAAAAAGCCCTGTTGCTTGCGCCGATATGTACCAATTAATAATTTTAATTCATGCTAAATAGGCAGTAATATGTACACACACATAGAGTGCACCTCTGACACCTGCTGCTGACAGTCAGAGACTGCCTCTCGTCCAAGTTCCTCCGCCTGAGAACTTGGTTTATGCCTTCCAAGTTTGCCTCTCAATTCTATGTCTTCCATATCAAAAAAATGGGCTAAATTTACTTAGCTTTAATATGAAAGATGTAAAGCCTTCTAAAAACACCTAGCAGAAACAAAAACATCTCAAAAACATCTCGGAGACTGATTTTATTGGTTTGTCATTTAGAGATGACCGATAAAGCATCACCCAGTTTCTAAAAGATGTCTTAGCTTTCATGTCAGCTTTGTTCTTCAGTTACTACTTCAAAGTAGTTCTCAGGACTGTTTTCTCCCCCAGTTTTCTAAAGCAGTCTACATTCCACTCAACTGATCTAAAATTCAGATTACCACAGACCACAGTATTTTACCAATGTCTTTATTATCAGTTACTGAAATCAAATTTAAGTAAATTGGAATTGCACTATAGATATACCTGGCAACAGAAATTCCATCCACTGTTGGAAGAGAAGTGTTGGAAATGCACAAACGCCTGCAATTACTTTTGTGACCTTAAATGGACAACCATATCAGTTTTACCTTTAGGGCTTTCTGAACAGCAGCCTTCTTCAAGCCATCAGGGTTAAATTCTAATGGATTATGCTTTTAAGTCAGGAAAGAATGAACATAGGAAGTGTTAATAAGTCATGCAATGAAGCAATTTCACTAGGTTAATTAATTATGACACAGGACAAAGCAGGGAAAACCAAATAAACCTTAAAAAAACAAAACCAAACCAAAATCTTTCAAACAAACAACAAAGGAATGACAACAACAAAAAGTCTGACAAAGTCTTTTTTCCCCCCTTCTTATTCTCTCTGAATGTTTGAATTCTGCATTAAACTAATATGGACGGTCACTTGGAGTCCACTTACATTTCCCTTTCAATTTTTTTTTTTACCATAGTAAGAAAGTTTCACAAAATAGTTCTTACTGAATGCCTGATGTCCTACAGACTGCCTTCTGCATGAACCTTTTTCAAATTTGGTGAAGTAAATAGAAGCTTCTCCAAAGATAAGTCAAGTAATTATGTGAAGAAGTCCTTTTATGGTAGAAATTACAATGCTAAACATATTGATAGGACCCAGATAATTATAAAAACAGAAGCTGGTTGAGCCTCTTCAGCAGATGAACACCACAAACACTGCATGCTAACTAGAATGAAGCTCTACTACTTTACTCAGTTGAATTAAGACATTCAACTACACTAACAATAGGAACTCAAACTGATTTAGTGGGACAAAATTGCTGACTATTTTCCATTAATTAAGCAAATTTTGTATTTTAAAAATAATAAATTGTTCTCGAAGTGATGCATGTAAAGTACAAAAATGTTACAGAAAATTTGCATTCAACGCGTAAGAAATAATTCCAGGAAATACGATTTTGAAATAAAAGAAACTTCAAGTTAGTTTACTTATAGCTGGCTTTTTCTGTAAGCACAAATTTTTATTTTAAGGGAGAATTCTGGTGTAGTGTGGGGCAACAACAATAAAAAATATAATGGCCTTTTAAAACATGCTGGTTTATGTATAGAAACTTGTATTATTAATGCTCTACTGAAAGAAATGCCTTTGTGAAATTCAAATCCAAAAGTGAACTAAAATATCAAAAGAGCTTTAACCTTTATGCAGAAATATTTCTTTACATTTCCTTTTATAATGCTATATCCTGAAGCTGGCCAAAATATATGATGAGAATCATGGCATTCAGCTTTAAAATTTCTATTTCAGAATGAACCTACGATATGATGAAACTGGAGAAAACCAGAAATAATATTTGGCTGGTTTTGTGGGACTTTTTAAATCATTATTATTCTTAAAATTAAGGATTCTTCCACAATTGCTCATCTGATCCATTAAGGACCTAATACTGTACTTAAAGACCTTCAGAGATAGAGACTGCACAATAGACCCAGACATACCAATCTCAACGTTTAACTATTCTTTTTGTCAGAAAAAAAACTAATGCCCAACAGCAATGTTCCTTGCTGGAGTTTAAGCACTGTTTCTTGTTTTCTAACATATAGGAAAAAAGCATTTAGTTTGCAGCAGCCTTGTATCACTTGCATCCTCATCCTTACTCCCTAAGGCTCTCTTCCTCTGCTAGCCACATTCACTGGCTTTCTCCTTATCATCACTGCTCTCCTCCAGATCTTAAATTGCTGTGGCCAAAATCAGGGCCTTAGTAATGGCTAAATAGAATAGAAGGATTATTCCAAACCTATTACAGGATATTTTTCCAATACATGGTCTGGTGTTTGTCTTTCAAAACAGTATGAAGGAGCACAACTAGAAATCATGCCTTCCAATACCTGAAGGGAACCTACAGGAAGGCTGGGGAGGCACTTTTTACAAGAGTGTCCACTGATAGGACAAGGGGAAATGGGTTTAAGTTGAAGGAGAATAGATTTAGATTGGACCTTAGGAAGAAATTCTTCAGTACGCGGGCGGCAAGACTTTGGAACAAATTGCCCAGAGATGTTGTGGCTGCCCCCTCCCTGGAGGTGTTCAAGGCCAAGTTGGACGGAGCCTTGAGTAGCCTGATGTAGTTGAGAGGCGTCCCTACCCATGACAGGGAGGTTGCACTAGATGATCTCTAAGGTCCCTTCCAGCCTAGGCCATTCTGTGATTCTATGATCTATTTCTGTACAACTACTTTCATCCTCTATGGAAAAGTACCTTATTTTTTCAGATCATATCTGCAACTCATCAAGATCATTTTGAATCCTAAACTGCCCCTCAACTTACTGCCCAGCTTTCCTTCACATTTGCACCTGCATACTCAATACACAGCTTTTTTTTCTCCCTATATTATTATTTCAAAGAATTTTAAAAGTCGAAAGCAAACCTATGTGATCAATTATAAAGGCAGGCAACCAACAATTCCTGGATATTGAACACATCTCAATTCCTCTGGAATCATAGCAAGGCCAGGCCAAGCGGGGCATCAGCTGGGGCATAAATGTTTAAATCAAACTGCAGCTTTCAAGGGAAGGAGCTGCAGGTCAATGAGGACAGTGGCTGAAAGGTGGGAGGGGACTAGGAGAAGAAGAGGGAGTATTCACTATAAAAAGCCAAGAAAACATGTTGCCTTGGGTGACAAAAATGTCTTGCTCTGGTTCTAAGCATCTTTGCAGGTAGTTATAGGAGAAGAGGACGGCTATCCCAGAGCTATACTGGCGACTGACACGGTGGAATAAATCAGATTTCAGGCTAGCAGTCTGTAACAGCCAGTGACATTTGCAGTAAATCCCAACAACAAGCCCATACAGTGCTCTGCAGCTAACAAGCTGTTTTGTTACTAAGCCAGATCCTAATTCAGTATGCTTTGGAGTACAACTCATTAATTTGTTGACTCAGTAAGGGTTGCTTGGGGTTAAAATGGGGATTTAGAAGAAGTTTCTAAACCCATGAGTGCATCCAGTCAGTGATCCATAAGAGCCAATTTAAAATATAGAAAATTCATGTCATAAAGACACTAAATTAAAAGAAAAATTGTTATGAACTGATGATAATGTATCATAAAACTAGGATTACTTATTTTTGGAAATTATGCTAAGAACACTATTCATACTTTAACTTCAGATAAATCAGATTTAGACGGGTAAATCTCTGAATTAGGTGTCATGAATCTAGGTTCCCAGCAGTCAATAAAACTGTCCAGAAAGGAAAAGAAAGTACTCAGGGCATTGGATTTTCCTCTCCCAATTTAAAGTGAGCCCCCTTTTTAACACACACTCCTCCCCAGTCAGTTAGATTTCTGAATCCACAAGTGCAAATGTTTGTGCAAAACTTTGTGTTTCAAGAGGCCCTGAAAACAAGATGCAGGTTTATGACTGCTGAGGCTGTTACATTACCTCCCGGCCACTACATTCCTCTCCTCCCTCCTGGCCTCCAGCTATAAATCTCATCCTCCTGCTTGCTGCAAGACTAACACCCGTGCAACTGCAGAACAAGGCAATTAACAGTGCTGTTGAAAGAAATCCAGGCTTGGATATGTGAAAAAGGTTGTTTCTCCACTGTGACTCAGAAATCGCTTTGGGGATTTGGAAAGTTTTGTCCAGTGTCTAAATAGATGCTGTTATATGTAGAAGACACATCCTAATGCAAAGACCCTAAGATCAACAAAAATGTTACAGCTACACCCTCTCTCAAGTGTTTTGATTCTTTTTTTAATTACTATTTTTACAATGCATCTAGTATTTTTATAACTAAAAGAAACAGAAAATACTTATTAGTCTTAATAAAGATAACTGAACCATAGCTTATGAGTTCTTTTTCCTGTTCACTAAATTTTAACAAGATTTGGTAAGGGAGGTAACATTTTTGACACTTTCAGATGAACTTATACACGGAAACTAACTGAAGTAACACAGAAAAGAGTTTCGTTGGGATTTGGAGGGGACGGGGGGGAAGTCTTTTTTAAAATCAGGGTTTACAATATGAGCCAAAAGTAGCCAGCCAGCAACAAATATATCTGCACAGCCTACAATGGCATACCCATCTCTCTCTGGCAAAGGGGTTCTTATTCTGAACAGATTCTCATACTTTTTGAAGATACCAAAGTTGTGTTTACAGATTTAAATGTAAGCTATGCAGAGGCTCACCAGTTTGTAATAACCTTGTAACACTAAATTCATGCAAAAAAATATGAATTGGCGTTTTTCCCTAGCCTGGATTTTCCTGACTACAGACAAATTTGAAAAAAAGAAAAGGCACTTGGGAATTTGCAAAACAAGGAGCATCATGGAGTGAAGTAGAATTTACAAGGGAATTTATAGTTTGGGGAGCACAAACAACCACACCCATTTTTAAAGCAATACTTGAACCAGTGTAGAGAGGTTGCAAGTTCTTAGAAACAGTGAGTGCATCACCTTTTAAAGAAATCTCAGGGATGTTTATTGGAATATTTAAGAGTTTAATTTCTTTGAAATAAAAGCCAACAATTCAGCAGCACAGAGCGGTGCTAGTATAGTATGCATTTTATTTCTCAATGAATCAGCAATTTAAGTTTAATGTAAGAGCTTTTACAACAAACTTATCTTGGGTTTTTAATCACAAAAAGTCAATTACTTACCCAATGATATGCTGATCAATGAAATTTAAGTAGCCTTTAAAATGCAATCAAAATAGCACAAAAACAATGCACACTTGTTGAAACCATGCAGCAAAACAAATTGCATGCTCTCATTCCACTAGAGTGAGTGGCTTTAGTAGCACTAATCCACACTCTGGCAGATAAAAGGTACAATACAAATAATACCAGAGAACTCACAAATAGTGCTCTATAGAGTGAGGTAGTGTTTTCACAAAAGACTAGTCCCGATGCTCTCCTCTCTTTTAAGTATCCACACCCAAAGTTTCCCTCGTAGATACTCTTAGGAAGATGGAAATGGAAGGAGAAAGCAGAGTGATGGGATTGTGGCAGAATGAATGCATAAGCAGCTTTACTACACAAAAAAGTTAAGGAAAACAGTCAAAGGATTCAAGAGAAAACAGCAGATAACAAAAAGTAAGTAAATATTTGTCATTACAAATAGTTTCATATGTTAAATGACTTTCTGCAGTGCAGGAAGAAAAAAAAAGTGGTTTGCTTTGATTCTATTAATTATTCAAATACATTAACCCACTTGTCAAGTTTACTCTTGGTAGTTCAGATTTATATGGCAGATCCAGCTAAGTAAATTTAGAGACCAGCCTTCTACAACGTTTCCATTTCACTGGAAACAAATTTCTCATAAACCATCCCAGTGTCTCAGAAATGCAAAACTATGATGCATCTGTGCAAAACAAATGCCTTTGCTGGGGATTATCCACTGTAACTCAAACAAAACAAGGCTGATGACAAGATCTAAAATGTACCAGTGATAAGTACTAACGTAATTTTGAAGGTAATAAAAAGTACTAATTAATCTAGAAAATACTTCAGCTGTAACATTAAAGTTTGGAAAAAAGTCTTCAAAACTACTAATAAGGGTCATGTCATTTTAACACTTCATTCTCTACGAACCTTTTGTTCCTCATAAATACAAGCAATCTAAGAGAGATTAATTTTGTTATTACACTACATGAGCCCTACAAATTAACATGAACATGAGAATCTGGCAGACTTTCATGTTCAGTCTTGTAAATGTTGTTCCATATTACGATCAAATGAATATAAAATCCCCTGTATTTGCTATAATTCACTGCAGCTTGTCTAGGAGCTCTGTGATATTATCTAAGCATTGGCTTTATAGAATCTATAAGAATATTTTCAGGTCTCCTGCATGAAGAAGTCTTTTCATGACATTTTTTCCCCTCTCCTAACTGTGAAGCCTTTATATATGTGGTTTTGGACTACTTCAATTCAACACACTATTTTACTGTTATAAGCTTGTAAATGGAATTTTCAAATGTTCAATGTCACTTTCTATCGTATTCTTTATAACACATTTCTGAAAAGAAAATGACTTGAAGTTAAATAGTGAGTCATTTGTAACAACTGCTTTTCTGGGCTGGTAGAGCAAGGGGAAAAAAAAAAAAGAGGGTTAAGCAGGAAACAAGTCTCACACTAAAAGCACTCTTATTCTCAACCCACCCAGACAATCTGGTACTGTAGACAACATCACACACAGCAGTAAGAAATTTGGGATCTTGTTTCCCAATTTTCTAACTGGTCAAGTCTGTGCAAGGAATTTCCCATTTCTGTGCCCTAGAGTTTAGAGATCTACTGATTAGAAGTACTGATTAAGATGCTGAAATTAAAATACCATCCCCAAAAGTCGGTAAAACTGAAAACTTGCAGTGTAACCTTTCTGAAGTGGGGAGACACTGTTACAGAATATTTGTTTAAAACAGGAAGGTAAAAAGCTGAACTTATGACAAAGTCTCTTTGAGCATCTTCTCTAGGAGCTAATTAATATAGGGAAGTAGAGTTGTATGGAAAAAAGAATTGAAAATTGTGGCTACGATTGGATACAATGAGGTTAAAAAAATAATGCAAGACAATTTCAGATGTGCTCAACTTTTTAGTTTTTAAAATAATCTATAAACATTACTTCCAAATACTAGTTTATGCACCTTGAAACAGCCAAGAAATCACTAGTCAGTGATGTAATTTGTTTAGTCTACTCAAGTTTCATTTGTTACCATTGTTTAATGTAGCATTTTAGCTTAAGTTTGAGGGGCAAAAATGCATGTAAAAAATAAATAAATCTGAGGCTTGAAAACTTTATTCTCTGATTAATATTTTAGTCAACACTTCCAGAATTTCTCATCTAATAGCAATGCTGAAAACCAGAAAACCTCAGTGTTATGCTTCATGTATTTATTTATAACATTTACTTTATTACTGCTATCATTTACACCCAGAAATAGTACTTTACTAACCTGACACAAACTACAAAACAGTCTATGCTTGGCACAAACAAGATATTTCACAGTCCCATATAATGACAGTAATTTTTCTGGTTTCATGTTTTGCACAAGCAAATAAACAACACTCCAAATGACAACCTGACAGAAACCTCATACAAGTATTCTGCCACTGTAACATCAAACACTTAGTATAAAATTCGATGATGAAGGCTTCAGTACCTTCAAATCTACCACAGATTCCCTAAACCAAAGCAAGCAAGTTTACCTGAACTCAAGGAAGTGGGCTTTTTCCCAGTTAGTTCCTTAAAGTTACTCATGCTAATCCCATATTATTTACGGAAAACACTGTGTAATAAAAACATTCAGCCTTTCAAGTCCAGGAAAGGAGCATTCTCTAAAGAAAAATCACGCTGATTAAAGAGTAATGTTTTTCAAATGTATGTATCTATAACACTATACTACCAGAAATGTGGACCTTACATTACACGTTTTGAAATGAGAAGAAGTATAGAAAACATGGCATAATGTGTGTTAGTAAAGCAGTGCCATACTACCAAGCAAGACATGCTGGAAGTACGCGAGAGATAACCACGACAAAAGGGTCTCCATCAGAATATAACTTACGGGCAGGTTTCTTGCTGAGTCCAAATAGAGAATAAGCAATGCAGAAGAAAGCCCATCGTTGGCTTGGTCTTTATCAGCTCTAATGCTTGTTAGCACCTGGACCACAAAACATACCGTAAGCCTTTTTGAAAATCAGATAGCAGTATTATTTCTGTCCCACTCCTGAAAAATATTTTAAAAGTATCTCCCAGAATGCATCCATTTACAAATGCATGCTATGAAGCATAAGTAGTAAGTTTTCAAGAATCGTGTAGATATTCCAAACCCATTTTTACGGAAACTTCCACCCCATTTCATAATTAGTATTTTTTTAGACCGACCGGAGTATAGTATTATATCCAGCTTTATCTTTCAGGCTAATGAAATTTTAGCAGATATTCTCAAAACATACATTAAGAGAAGAGGCCGATGAAAGCACTTTAAAATCTCATGCCACAAGAGTACATTCACAGTTATGACTGGTTTGGGATTTCTAAAGAAAAAAAGCTTGGAATAAAGTTACACATTTATCCGAATTCACAACAGCTAGATTATTAAATTACTTACATGGTTAACAAAAAACAAAACAAGAATGCACAACAAAAAACACCCCACAACAATCAAGATGAGAATAAAAGTAATGAGTTCCTTTAATACCTTGTCTAGATTTTCAGCAGTTGGCATCAATGTGAGCCATTCCAGTTTTAAATGCAATTTTCCTTTGGACACTTCATCCAAAGTAAACCACTAGAAGTCAAAAAAGTAATGTGAAATAATCTGATACCAAACAAATACATGATTGCAATTGACTCTTCAGGAAGTCAGCATAACCTGAAAAGATCTGATTCATTGTTTAAAGCATCCTATTTCACACAAAATTTTACAACACAGAATAACAACACTAGCTATGCAAACCTCTATGTTATATAGTAAAAGTATTTTTAAAATACCAAGAGAACTCTTTAATTTCTGTGAAGATGTTCTGGAAATAAAAAGCCTGCATAACATCACTATAAAATCTCTCTTACATATAGAACAAAAATTAGTATGCTAAGTATAATAAACAGTTAAACCAGGCAGTTATTCTCCTGCAAGAGAAAGCTCTCACTAAACATATGTTACTGTTTTTTTGCGTTTACATACTAATAATGTTAAAACCCTAAGACAGAAGATGAATGGCATTATTTTTCAGATTTCAACAATTCAGGTTATTCATGCACATATAGGAACTATTCCCAGGAAAAGAAAAGATAATACAGGAACAACTATGTATTGAACATACATAGCTGGGTTTTTTTTTAACTGTAACTTATTGAACATTTACCTCATCTAGAAGACGCTCCTTTTCAACTTCAATTAAATCTATCATCAAACTAGAAAAAAAGAAAAAAAAAATTAGAGATCAGTACTTTAGTCAAGAAGCAAACCAAATGTAATACAGAACTCAAACCCCACTCTGTGCTTGCCGAGTATCCAGGCTTCCACCAAGATCAAAAGAGCAGAATACTGGGTTTTTAGCCACTAAGAGAGGAAGAAGTAGGGAATGAAATGCCTAAACAAAGATGAATGCATAGAAAATATGTCTATAGTAGAGCCCATTTTGAAGCTATGAGGACAACTGGCATGATAGGGCACTCATATACATGACCAAACTCTCAAAACAGTGACCACAATCAAACTACCCACTGGAAGTAGCCCCTGGACATACGCTATGACCAAATTCATGCTTTGGCATTGTCTGGAAGAGTTCTAGTTCACACAAGCTAAAAAATGTACCAGGGAATCTGCTAAAAATTAAACAAGGCAGACAACTGCATGCCAGTGCATGGTTTGTCGTGGCTTTTTATCTTATTAGTGCAGATGTACACATCCTGCCACTTTCCCCCCCACCACTTCAGTGTAAGATTAGGGAAGTGCAAAGAAAAGAAGCCTTTGTACCACCTACTTCTTTATTTTAATGAGAAGAGAAGTAGGTACTGTTGCTTCTGTTAAGAGAGAAGGAGCTGGAAAGATAAGGGAGTTCTACTCTGTATGGAAAGCAACAATGGGAAGCTCCAAAACTCTGCAAGAAATAAAGGTGACAAATTACTGGAGAAAGAAGCTGACTAAAACCCTGAAATGTTTATGGGTAAACGCTAACGGTAGGCCTATGGAATTGAAGAGTGAGTCATGTTTGCGAAAGCATTACAGCAACATTTTTTTTCTTTCATCAACTCTTAGAGAAAAATAAACTGTGAGCTAGCCATTTAAAAACTATGAAGATGAAGAAGATACACAGTTATTAACTATATTAACTTTGCCTGGAGAAATAACTAAGACTTAGTGCTAGTTTACAAACATTAAAGTAGGTAGGGTACAAGTCCTGGAAAAAAAACAAACAAAAAACACCCAAAAAATCCAAACAAATTCCCCACCAACCCTACCACGTTTTACTTTGGGGTACCCACAATACTTACCTTATTTTAAAAAAAAAAAAAAAATGTAAACATACAGACATGTATATACACACACAAGTACATCTTTATATACATATAATTACATATGTGAAATAATTAGGGAACTACTTGCTACCATAATTTTGAGAAGATAATTAATTTATAAATACAGTAATATAGCAGAACTACAACTGCAATAAAATGCAAAAAAGAATAAGAAAAAAAAAGACTGTATCAAAATATTCCTCTTTTTGTTTTTTAATACCTACAAACATATTCTCCATCATAACATTTACCTTCCCAGAAAGTCATCTTTATCAGGATCTTCATCAAAGAGCTCGATCTCTAGCTCCTGTCCTGGATGTTCATACACTAAGGCCTAGAAGCACAGTAAAACAGCAATGTCAATGGGAAAACTAATTAGCTTTAAGTGGTGTAGTAACAGTAAAACTGCAGGGCCTTTGTGTATTAAAACATATCAACAAGAAATGCTTTTAAAAAAGATGCAATTTAATGAGTAGAGCAAGTGTAAGAGCTTTTCAGAAGCAATTTGCTAATGTTGGATTTAACAGACTAGACTGCTATTCGAATTACTGATGCTTAGTCTAGACAAAAAAGTATATACATCAATACAGAATTTCTATTTTATCACAGAACTTTGGTCTTCTAGAGAGAAGCATGAAGAAATTCCTCGAGGAAGTCCCCAGAGTGCCTTCTTTAACAAAAGAAATTTTAGGAGACAACTTTACAGAAAGCACAACAAGGTATTTTTATTGGTTATACCTCATAAACTTCATTCCATTTCGGATTGAGATTTTCTTTAATGACCTTGCTTTGGAATATCTGGTTGCCTACACGGATGATTCCATAAGGATCTGACTTTCCTTTGACAATCCCTTTTAGGTAAGTATCTTTCCCCTCCAGGTCCTGAGCTTCAATAAAGTGTATTCTTAGAACACCCTGAAAAAGGAAAAGATGAGTTTATGTAGTAATCTGAAAGCTCTCATATCATCACAATTCATGCAATGTTTGTTTTATAATTTCCATTATGCTTTCCTTAACACAAAACCAAGTTTGGATATGCTGTAAATGGAGGGATATCACACACAGCAGACCTAGCACTCAAGAGATTCCTGAAAAGAAAAACTGTCATCAGCCACTGGAAACATGCCAGTTATATCAAGAAATGACACGCTACTGGAAGTGAGTAGCAATAAATAGCAAAAACTTTCAAGTGAAGAGTACTAACAGTAATTTAATGTGATGGCACAAAACATGTTCTACTTAATTTTTAGTCTATACAGTTGAACTGTACTTTAGCAAGAAATATGTTTTAAGATTCTAGGAAAACAAAAAAATAATTTTTGTCATTATTATGAAACTTTATTAAATCAATTATTTGAAGTGACTGGATTCACAATACCTTGTACTACTGCAGTAACTGTATTTAGAAATTCAGAGATGTGCCTATCTTCAACAGCTACTACTACAGAAAAAAACCTAAATGCCAAATTTTTAGCATGAACAGAAACATGCTTACCTTTGGTATAGGAAACCGCAACTGAGCAATCTGCACTTCACTGACAAGGGGGACTGTAATTCTATTTGGAAGGACCAAGTAGTTGGATATTATATCCAATATGATTGTATCTGATAAGCCACTGTTGGAGAAAATAATCCTCGGTTACTTCACGAGAATTAAACACTTCATGTCACCCTAACGAACTCCTTTTGCTGCTTCACAACCTAAATGAAGAAAATATTTGTCTTTTTGAAGGGGACAGAGAGAGAGTAGAAGCCACATCTGCTTTTTAAACACTTCTTTAAAAATATTCTTGCCCAAATTGCCACCAGGTGGAAGCAGCTGACGCTGAATAGCAGAAACCACAGAGCTGAATTCTCAGAGTTCTCATTTCCCTTCCCCCTCACCCTCCTGCCTTTTGAAGCCACTCAGGGCAAAAGGCTATTGCATAAGTTTTCTTGCCTGCATTACAAATAACCAAACAGATGTTAACTGCCACTCCACTTTTGTATTTCAGTAATAACTGTCCCCGTAAGTTTGGCTAACCAGTCCCCTATTGTTATGAAACAAGTTGTCCTCTTGAGCTGGGAGGCTCATGGTTTAAAACAGAAACACAGAGAAAACATTCTTGTGGCCCAGTAAAACATAGCCTAGGGAAGCAAAACAGGTTTTGTTCTGGCAAAAAGGGAGTGGCAGTACATTCACTTTGGTAATGAATCATTTAAAAAACCCAACCTCATACTCCTCCACAAACACAGAAAAGAAAAAAATATTTCCTAAGCTACAAGTTTGCCCAGTTTGGGTCTGAGCTGACACCAAGTCAGTACGTTGTCAGACCAGCACCACTGGTTACGCACACTGCCTACAATGGCCAAAAGGCAGAACCGGAGTGGTATAATTCACCACGGAAGACAAGCACCCAGGAACATTTTAGGGTTATGTACGAGAGCTCAGACAGAAAATTATAAAAATACTTGAGGTATTCTGAACTGCAGGTGCACTCTCGCAAAGGCTGGGGGAGCTGCTTCAGGGATGAACGGTTTCTCCCCCTAAATACACTTTACAATTCTCCTTTTACCATCTTTATGAAATTAAGATGCAGAAAACGTTTGATTACTTAGAACATTTTTTAGATGAAGCACTTGTGTATAATCACCTTGTGAAGTTTTTCCAAGACTGAATCTGCAGCTGGGAGTAGCTCTGACTCAGCAGCTAGCATATTTATAAAAACATAAAAACTGCACTGAAATGTAATACATATCACATTTTCATTTGGGAAGAAAATTTGGTGATGAGCAATAAACATATTATGGTAGAAATAGGTAACAGAATTATCCAATTAAATACAGTCTGGCTCGTTTCAAATCCAGGCTGGTGTTTCATGCCAGAGATGTGCAGCCTGTACAGTCTGAGTAGCTGATGACCAATTCTGACTTCTAATGGTATCCTGTACAGCAGGAGCAGAATAAACTCAAGGCTGCATCAAGATCAAAGGACAGGAATGTGCAGACCACTGTTAATTCTCAGAAAGAAGCATCAGTGGACAAAGTTAAGACATTGCTCAGAGGAAAAGTTTCCTCTCTAGTTCCAAGAGTTCATTCCCATACGTCCTAAAGAGGAGTCTTCATTGCCCTTCCTTTCCTGCAGAGCATTTCCAACCATATTTACAAAGATTTTCATTCTACATGAACACTGAATCCCACAAATTTATAGTTTCAGTAATTCTTAAGTCAACTACCATGATAACCATGTTATTTGAAAATAAGTAGCATCCCTTAGTAATCACTGCAACACGTTACTTTTTCAGTTACTTTCAGTAACTTTCAGTTACTTTTTCAGTTCCATTTTGCTAAAAATTGAGTTTTCAACTTATGCTAAACATTTTCCAAAATGAGCCAAGAAAATAGAACCCACTATTTTGTTATAGTTCACTAAACATCTTGGCCATTAAAAGGAGAAACAAAAAAAAAAGAAAAAAAAAGAAGCTGAGGTGGATGGTAACTATACAAGCAACAATCACAGTTTTCAAAATACAAGTCAATGACAAATCTCTGGTATAGAGATCGAATTTTGGTTCCTGTTTTTGTTAGTGTCCCTACCTGGCAAAAAGAGAAAGCTCCACCTTTATGCTCAATACTACTTAAGAACAGATGATTAATGGAGAAAACTGACCTAGGTCAGAGAGAGCAAATGAGCATTGCAAGAGGGGCAATGGTACCAGAGCTGCCTTGGAAGAAAGGCTATCATGCTCTTCTCTAATATTTAGTTAAATTACATTTGTAATTACATTACAAAATAAGCTATAGGCATAAATAAACCTATCCTAGGCTAGCAGAAGGTTCAGAGATTGACTAATGTTCAAACGGAGCTACATGAGACCTTCTTAAATAAGCAGAAGCAGCCAGAAGCACAACACAGCCCAGTCCCTGGGAGCGTTCACAGTCCTTTATGTGAGGACCTAACCCCAACTCTGTGATTCCAAAGAAGAGTCTCACGATTTTATCCCAGCATAAATATTTGAATTTCACTAAGCATCTGAGAAACAAATATAAAAAACGAACCACATATTGAAACTGGACACACAAGAGGTAGCAGATACTTCATCTTTAAAAACAGGGAGCTGAAAAAGAATACTGAACACGGTAACTAAGTAACGAATTAGGTTAATTCTAAACCAACATGACGTTTTCAAGCTGTTTTAAAGTACCCTAACCAAGTATTAGCCAACTAGGATGCTCCTAGAGGGAAAGTATTCTTCAAGAATACAAGGCAAAAGTTACAGTCTTTTTCAGCATTTTATTACTTAAACCAAGAGGTCTGATCAATGGGAAAAAAAAGATAAAATCACTGATTAAGCAAAAGAGAAAGATCACAGAATCACAGAATGTTCGGGGTTGGAAGGGACCTCTGAAGATCATCTAGTCCAACCTTCATCCCAGCATACCTAACCACTACACCATAGCCCCAAGTGCTAGATCTACTTTTTTTTTAAACACCTCCAGGGTTGTGACTCCACCACCTCCCTGGGCAGCCTGTTCCAGTGCCTCACCACTCGCTCAGTAAAGAACCTCCCCCGAATATCCAATCTAAACTTACCCTGACGCAACTTGAGGCCACTTCCCCTTGTCCTGTCATTAGTAATTAGAGAGAAGAGACCAGCACCAGCCTCACTACAGCCTCCTTTTAAGTAGTTGTAGAGGGCAATAAGGTCTCCTCTCAGCCCCCTCTTCTCCAGACTAAACAAACCCAGTCCCCTCAGCCGCTCTTCATAGGGCATGTTTTCCAAACCTCTCACAAGCCTTGTTGCCCTTCTCTGCACCCGCTCCAGCACCTCGATGTCCTTCTTATACTGTGGTGACCAAAACTGGACACAGTACTCGATGTATCTATTTAAATTCCTACGTTGATGAATCATCAATAAACAGCTTCTTAATAAGATTGTAAAACTTGTAATTCATTCTAAGTACAGTTATCTTTCAGTTTTCACTAAAATAAGTGAAGCACGAAAGGCTTCATATAGCTTAATCACAGTGTCTTCAAAAGCCCTCTTTCATTGCAGACAAATAATTAGCAGTTACCTACTCTTTTGTATCGCTCTCTATTTAGCTCTACTTAATTTTTAGTGACAGAATAAG